GATATTTATAGAATATAATGACGAATTTAGTTGTTTTATTGTAAGTAATTTAAAAATATTATTCATGGTTACTTTAGAACTTACAATGACATACTCCACTTCAACAGTAAATCAGAGTGGCAAAATACAATCCACCTTTTTAAATTCAATTTTGAATTTTTAGAACAAATAACTAATTTTATTCTCAACAAARTAATTGATTTAACAATTTAACATTTTATATTAAGAATAATATTATATGTATAGAATTATAATTTTTGTGGACTGTATTTAAAGTATAATATATTTAATTGTAAAATAATTGTAGGTAGGTACATAGCACAGTTAACGAGTTGTGTCCCGACCAAATTTCTTGCACTCGAGTTGTGTCCCAATGATAAAAGTAGGATACACGAATTGTGTCCAACTGTTATATGAAGTTTTACACAAGTTGTGTGCTGATAAATTCAAATCGATATTTTACACATGAATAAAATATGTTATTATAATTGAAATAAAAAAAGTTTTTATGAATTCAAATCGAGAAATTTTTCTATTTTAATGATGTACAAAATATACCAAAATATACCAACATATATTTTGTAAGATATTTACTGAATAAAATTCGATTCTGTCGATTATTATTATCAGGTGAAGGTAAGGTGTGCATGAAACTACGGTGATTGTCATTGTATATATGTACTCATCTATCTCGATTATTGATCATCTACTATATTAACATAACGAACTATATTATAATATTATATGCACATAAAACTATATTCGGATATTCCAATATGACAATATTACACTTAAATTTTTGACGAGTTATAATAATAGTAATACAGTATTAGGTATACGATTTATTTACTAGGCAATCAAACACCAACCGTTGAACCGTCCATTATTAATATTAATAAAATTATTTGTGTAATTATTTTAATTTTTAATTTATATTAGTTATACAAAACTTGTGTGTAACCAAAAAAAACTGTGGGACACAATCCGTGTAACTCGAAAAAAACTGATGGACACAATTCAGTATTTGGGCACAACTCGTTTGCAACCGTTCATAGACATTTTAGATTTTTTTTTCTAATATTTTGGATATTTKTCATAGAAAATAACTTATCCGATAAAATTTACCATTTTTCATTCATAAAAACCCTCAACTACAATAATCATTCAAAGTTTGATTGRACTACTGTATATAATATCCTAGAATTTTCAAAAATTAATCAGTAAAAAGCCCGAAATTTAGATAATTATTGGCAAAAAATATAATAATAAACCTAGGTATTTGTACTTTTACTGAAATATATTTTTTATAATATTTAAAGAGCTAACGGAACTAGTTGTGAATTTAAAAAGCAGYATAGTGGCATGTCCCTCACCACATCTAAGTGGTTATTAGGGATCTAATTTTTTTAAGGAGGAGTGCTAATCTCTAGGACTTGGAGTTATAATTATTACTAATTAATTAATAMTACACGATATCACCTATAATATATATTATACATCGTTGTTATTACTTTTTTGTACGTAATGATTCGAAGGCGGACTCATATTGTTAAAATATATTAGGTATACCTCTCGTTCACTCTTGGTTTTGTCGAATACAATTTGTTGCTATCCGCCGTACTTGGTTTAATTTACATAGGTAGTCCAAGAAAACCGAGGTATTATGGTAAMTTAAAACAACGAAAGAGTCTAAATAATAATTCCAAACAACATATAACATAGTATCTATACACATATATTTAAAAAAAAATGATAGGTTACACATGGAAACGTTTGGGACGTTGTCATGGCCACAGGTAATATATAGATTGGTACCATTAAGTATAGAATACAATTGAGTAAGAATGGATAAAACTGAAAGGATTAAATGTCTTTGATCTAGTATGCCATACACTTCAAAATTTCTAACTGATGTGTTTGATTCAGGATGTTATGRAARACAGAAAGCTCAACGAATTGAAGACTCTGACAATGTCTAAAAATACTAAAAGATTTTTGGAACATGTAAGAATTATCAATCCGGAGAATGAAGAAAACGGCATAATCAATGAAGTTTCATGACGTTTTCTTAYGCCCCTAAGATWATAAAAAAAATTTCAKTTAGAAGACATAATGGACAKGACAGGCATGGAGAAACTAGGCTCATCAATATAATAGGAAAACGGTTTTTGGGTAGACCTCACGTTAGATGGAATTATTGTGTCATTAAAAATGTAGGAAGATACATCTGGAG